TGTGCTTTTCCCTAGATAATCCCATCTCTGGATGGGGGCTCTGCTGGGAGGCTGGGGAACTATAAATCACCCACTTAATCTCTTCAAAGAGCCTTTTGTGTGACTGAATACTTCAACTTTTTATTTTTCTGAGGTTTTAGGAAAAAGTCGGCTGGCCACGCCTATGACAGTGCATGTTCCTGACAAGGTGCCTCTTAAATTCTGCATCTACTGGAAACTAGATGTGCTGAAGACTCTACAAATAATCAAGTCTAACAATTATTTCTTAAGTTATCTCCTTTTCCACATCTTATTATAAGCAGCAAAAATCCAGGCTGCACCTCCACCGCTCTCGTTCGGAAATCTCCTTGGCTAGAAGCCTGGGCTCACTACTTGCAAGTTCCACTTTCCGTGTGCCTGCAGCACAGTTCTGCTGAGCTTCCTCCAGCTTCTGTGACACGAGCCTCGTTCCTCTAGGTCCTCAGCAAGCAGCCACTTGAATGTCCCTGTCTAGCGACGGCCTGGGTGTGCCATTCAGGCAGTGCTTTCTCCACCAAGACATGCTCACGCCCGTATTTCCGTTAAAAGTCTACGTAAGACAAGACAGCGTTCTCTTAGTGTCTGGCCTCTGTCCAGTTCTGAAGCCACGGCCACATTTTTAGGTCTTGTTGCATCTGTGCTCCTCTTCCAGCTGCCAGAATTGGTCATGTTTCCACCGGAAAAGCACAACCGGTAGGAGTTACGTGGGGAGACCCAGAGTTGGGCCTGGCTTGAGTGGCTGGCTGCGGAGGATGCCCGGCCAGGCCCAAACCATAAGGCTGACTGCGGAGAGGCCAGCAGGGCTCTGTCATGGGTGGAACTCTGCCTACAGGTGCAGATGTGGGCATCTTCTTTCCTTCCTCCCTCACCTCCACGCCACTCCCAACCTCTTGCTTCTCTTTCTCCTTTTTTTTTTGGTTTTGGTTTTTTTCCAGTACCGGTAATTGAACTCATGACCTTGTGCTTGCCAGGCAGGTGCTGTGCTGCTGAGCTAAATCCCCAGCCCCTCTCCTTTCCCTTTGAAGACTCAGCTCTGTTTCTAAGGCTCTCATCCGCTGGGGAGGCCCGACTGAACCAGGCCGGTCCTGATTATCTGGTTGGCTATGGGCTTACAGTCAGTTGGTTATGGGCTTCAATCACATCTTTAAACAGTGCCTGCCCAGTAACTCCCAGATTGGTGCCTGGTGCCATAACCTGGGGTTGTGCCCTAGTAGGTAAGTGGCAGACCCTTCGCCTAGGATATGTGATACCGTGGGCTCGGTTCTCAGTACAAAACAAAGGAAATTAGGAAATAAGAGTCGGCATTTTAGCAGCAACGCCAAACAAAATGGGCGAAAATTACATTGGGAAGAAGGGGACAGAGCAAAATAATAATAATAAAAATAACAACAACAATCACCACAGGATCTCCCATCACTGCCTCCACCATCCAAAGCTGCTGCCTCACATATGACCCAGTTGTCGTCACTTGGATATTCAGGTTTACAGGGATTTAGTCTCAGAGGTGTGCTAGGAATGAAGGCAGATATTCCTACATAACTGGCTAAAGATAATAGCAGTTACAACTTAGAGCTGAAAGCTATTTGCCCACAAGGGCTTTAAGAAGTTCCGCGTCCCTTACCTCTACATTTCTTTTTGCCAGAAATGGCGATAGTATTGTGTGAACAGCCTCTCACCCTGCCAAGGAGGCATGGCATTGACATCACTGCAGCTGTGAGAAATGCAGACCCCAGGCCCCGCATGCACCTGGGTCAGAGTCTGCGGTAGTTGTTTCTTGTTTTTGTGTTGAGACGGGGTCTTGCTATGTAGTTCAGGCTACCCTTGAACTCACTATGGAGCCCTAGCTGGCCTCAAACTCACAATGTTTCTCCTGCCTCAGCCTCCTGAGTGCAGGGATTATAGGTGTGTACCACCACGCCTGTGTCTAAAGCTTCCTGTGCTGACTCTGCGTCTGTTGAAGTGTGAGAAGTACTGGCCCAAACTGCCATCCCTGTCTAAGTTCTCTTCCTTCTTCTGCCTCCCTCCACATGCCCCCAATATCCTTTCTTCCTCTGAAAATCCGTGAACATGGTACCAGCGCATAGGAGTCTACAACACTCTCCACACGTCAGGTGAAAGAGGCGTGAGGTGGGTGGTGATGATGATCTCAGGATCTGTTTATTAAGGGGAAAATAAATGGTGAGAATGTTCCTACTTAACGTTTTCTAGGGATGTTGTGAAGACTAGATAAGAAAAAATAAGGAACTGTTGCAGACTCTTAGGTAACTCGTGCTACTGTGCAGGCACATTCCATAAAAATTACTTTCCATGATAGTTCAGTGGTGACTACTGTCAGCTCCATTTTCAAAAAAGAGAAGAAAAGAAAACAGAGTAGGGGATTTATTCAAGGGCTCATAGTAAGTATGCATAAAGACTCAGGCAATCAGACCCCACCCACCTGCTTATCTACACAGCTTCCAGGGTAAATTTTCCAATTTTGTATGGTAGACACATAATCAAGAATTAGAGTGCATATTTTACTTGAAAGATGCTGCAGAAAACATCCAGGGCACCAGTGAACAGGGTTAGGTGCTGCTCTAAATGAAATGACAGTCAGTTCAACACCAAATCTGAATGTTGATTATAGGGGATAGCCGAACTTCTTTGGGTCCACTTTCTCCTTGGTAAGAGCCCCTAATTTTATTTTGGAGTGTCACTTTCTCCTTACCCCCAACCATCTCCCTTTTCTAGGAGTAGATGGGTGACGTGTGCCTGGCCTGTTATTGTGTTCCAATCCCCTGAGCACGTTGCTGGACCAGAGAGGGGCTTGGGACCCAGGCAAGTGCATGGAGGAGGCTGAGTCTGGAAGTTATAAAATATGCAGTGGTTGATTGTCTATAGTGGTAACGGCGCAGGGTTTGGTCTCAGCACTGCAATAAAAGAGGGGTGGGGTGAGGCTGTAGGTGTGGCTCAGTGGTAGGCGGTTTGCCTGGCAGGTGTGGAGCCCTGGGTGTGATTCCCAGCTCTACAAGAATAAATGAGTAAATACAATAAAATCTTAAGAGTAGAAGAGTAAAAAGGAAAGTCGAAGAAAGAGATGAACTGAAAGAATGGAGTCACTGAAATCATAGTAGAGTTCTAAGAAATGATGCTTCCCTATTATCAACTCACTCATTGAGTAATGTTTGTGTTTGTGAAATCAACAACCACAACACCTGGATAAAATGTTTTATCTATTTTAAGCAACTGTAAGTTCAGTCATGATAGGTTGTTCCCAGTGGGATCTGTATACAACGTGTAAACAGGCAATTCATTCATTTTTTTTTTCTCAAAAGAGAAGGTAAATGTGAGCTCATTAATTTCTTTTTACACCAAAGGTTTCCTTTTGGGGATTTTTTTCTTCATTCAAGAAATTTTGAGTGAGTCAGGGTATTAATCTGTTTTGCTCTGGTTGGTTCTAGCTCTTCTTCTCTGTATGTGTTTCACGGTGGTAGTAATTACCTAGCAGGTTGGTAGGGGTTTTTTTGAACTGATTCATTCTTTCACAGTTCTTTATCAAGCCTGAGATAAGCCTTAAAGTTTTTGCTAAAGAGAAGGAGATTCAGAAGGACCCTATTTCCTAGAATGTGAATTCTGCGTGGAGCTCTGCACTCAGATCCCTCAGATCCTGCTGCGTGGCAGAACCTCAGTAATACCATGTCACAGGGTCAGGGATCTGGACCTAGAGTATCTGTGCAGGATGAACGTCTGCAAGTACAGTAGCCCTGAGGGGTCATGCATGGTCAAGTGTTGTTTGTGACTCAAACATGAGTTGACTGCTTGGGCTTTTGTGCTTGTTGTTTAAAGGACAATTATCCTTCCTAATATCTAAGTTTAATGTTATTTAGTGGTTGCCCTGAGGAAGTCCTGGTGTCAGCGCTCTGCACTTCCTCCCGGGTGTTGGGAGCACCTTCTTTTCCTCCCTCACAGAGCTGCAAGCAGGCTCTTCCCTTCTGCAAGTGAAGAGGTGGCCAGGAAGCCAGAGACATAACTCGCCCAGTTTCTGTCCCCTGCTGGTCCCTCCTCATGGGAGCAGTGGTCACAGTAGCTTTTAACTGCTCATGTGGCTTCCGGCTTTCTTTAGGTGCTGCCATGCAGCTCCAGCCTCCTGGAGCCTTTTCCTGTGTCTGCGTCCTCTTTGCATTGTAAGGACAGTTGTCATTGGGTTTAGTGACCACCCTGATAACCCAAGACGATCTCGCATCACATCAGCTTTTAACCGCAGAGCGCCCTGTTCCCCTTGTTCTGTCTCCTTCCCCCCAGCTTCCTTCCTGGTGCCAGCACAGCCAGGCGTTCTCTGAACACTTGCTTCTCTGCCCGCCGCCTACGTGCAGCTCTAAGCTCAAAGGACAGAGTGGCGTCACAGCACGGGGTCCTCAATCAAGCTGCACCGGACAAACGGATGAACGGCATTCTGTGCCGAGCCAGAGAACGTGTGTTTACCTCCGCACTGGAGTCGGAGTGCACAAGGACAGGTTTTTCTTTCCTAACTTACTGTGTCCACTGTCACTGCGCTTCAGGGTCCTCAGAGAAGCTGTCATTAGTGCAACCGCTCTCGAGGCCCCAAGACCTCTTGAGCATCTTTGGAGACAGAGGACTCACTGCCTCACTGCTCCTGGGCGTCTCCATTTCACTTTTCTCTCCCACTCATTGCGCTCTTTACTACAGCATTTCCTACGCTGCTGCAGGAGGGGCCTGGAGGTCTAGGGGTGGGAGGCACTCAATGCTATGGTCGTCTTTTTCATTTGTATTTACCATCATCACAGTCACCATCATCATCATCATCATCATCATCATCGAGGGACTGAACCCAGGGCCTCTGCCCTGAGCTATATTTTCACCTCCCTTTCTTATTTTGCGTCTCTATAAGTGATTCAATTACCCAGGCTGAGCTGCAACTTGCGATGCTCCTGACTCAGCCTCCCAGAGTGCTGGGCTCACAGGCGCCCAGAGCGGCAGACGGCGGTCCCTGGGTGTCGCCGGCTCCCGCCCCCTACGGGCTGGGGTCCTCCTCCGGCACCGCCCGGCTCCTCCTCCGGGCCAGGAGTTCTCAGCGAGCCGTGCGCCACGCAGGTGCGAGTGCAGGGATCGGGACCGGAATCGGGATCAGGATCCGGATCGGGATCGGGATCGGGATCGGGCGGATCAGGCAGCCCCAGCTCAGGTGAGAGCGCCCGCATCCTGCGCGGCCGCCCGGGCAGCTCGGGCAGCTCTGGGCGCGCGTGGGGTCGCGGGGGCCTAGGGGCGCGGGGAGGCGAGGCCACCTGTGGGGACACCGGCGACCCGGGACAGCGCGATCGCATCTGCTGGCCTCGGAACCCGGACGCGAGCCGAGCCGTAAGCCCGAGAGGGACCGCAGTCCGCTCCCGCTCTCCAGCGAAAGGACAGCGGCACAGCCAGCCTTGCAGCCTCGCCGACCGGACCCAGCCCGGGGCTCGCGGGGGTCAGGGGCGCGAGGGGAAGAGGCCCGCGGGGTCCCCGGGGCCGGGAGGGCGAGAGGATGGGGCGAGGCCCGGAGTCCCGAGGGTTCGTACCCTACGGAGGGCTCTCCGAGCAGTAGAGCTCGCGCTAGCAAATGCTCTTTCAGACCTTTGCACTTGGAATCAGAAAAACGGAATTTGGGAGCGATTTCCTATACATTATCTGCGTCGCTATGGTTACCTTAAGTTCTGACAGGCCCAGTCTCCTCATCTTTCAAGTGAGCCAGTTGGATGAAGATAATTTCTGAGGCCTTTTGATAGCACCTAAGGTGTCTAGCACTTGAAAGATGTATCATTGTTTAGCTCTTTAACCTGTTACAAATGTTGCTAATCTCATGAAACCGAAAAAGCCTGCCTCTAACTTGGCATTTGGCTTCCCCGCTTCTTTATTATCTACGCTTTCAGGACCTTCAAGACAAAAGTTGCAGTGAAAGCAAAATGTGTAAAGAGCTTGGAAATACGTGGTTTACTCATGACCGTGTAGAACACTTCCTATGTAATTTAAAGAATCATGATTATCTTCAAGCCAGTATTTCCAACCCTGCAATGAAAACACGAGGCTTTAGCACAGCAATACTCTCTCCGAGGACTGTACGTTTGGAGGAAATAAAAATTGTCTTGGAGGAAAACACAAATTACATCTTTCCGGGCAATTACTGCTCTTGGAAAGTGTTCATTACTTTTCAGAATAAGGTTGTGTCCCGAATGTTAACAAAGTGGCTTCAGACCACTGAAAATTGACTTCAATAGCAGAGACGCTGATTTTAGTAATGTATTGTTTTCTTGGAGCAGATCCCAGAAATAGCAGAGGTTAATTAAACAGTTAAACCAGAGATTAGGAATTCACAACACACACACACACACACACACACACACACACACACACACACACACAGTGGGACAAGGAGTGTTGTGATAAAGTATCAGTATACTTTTTCTTCCCTTTTGGTTAAAAACAAATCTTGACTTGTTTAGCAGACAGAGGATGGTAAGTGAGCTTTGGTAGCTACTTCAAATGTTTTGCTGATGGTATTTTCAAAATTATTAGAGATCTAGAGCAAGTTAGGATATGCTTTGAGGTGTTTGTAGCTCTTTTTGCTGGCTTTGACCTAGAATCATGAAATCATCTTATCCCCCTCACATATACTCGGCATGCCGTTTAGAGTAGAATGGATCTGAAGTACTGCGTTGTGAACGTGTTTGAACTGATTCCTAATGCCTGTTGGCCTCCGGGCTGGCAACGTCAGCGATCATTGAGGCATTGGTGCCCTCATGTCCTCATGTTCTCCGGTGAAGGAGGTGGTCACCTCCTGCAGAACAGGTGGGAGAGAGTTGAGGAAACTCCTTGGGTGGAGCCCTGGCCGCTGGCTTGGTGGAGAAGACACACTGTGGATACACCTGAGTACCCGCAGCCCAAGCCGGCTCGTTCACGGCTCGAGCACCCCTGTGGGTGGCAGGGGCTGTCCTCCTCTTGTGCAGCGTGGGCATCTCTTCACACTTAGATCCCCACGACGGGGCCAAGTGGTTTGTGTCTGTGAAGTGCAGTAACTTTGGGAGGTCTCAGAAATGGAACAAACATATCCAGAATAAAAAAAAAGAATCCTCTTGGCAGATACTACACTGCGTTCTTTATCCCAAGAGCCAAACACACCAACTGAGAACTGTGTCCCATGGAGCTCAAGTGGAAAAAAAAAGGCTGACAGCCGTTCTGAGTCTTAAGCTTTCATGTGATTTACACATTCCGATTTTAATTAAATTAGAAAGGCACAAATATTCACCTGCTGGACAGACTTAGTACATACAGCTTTTTGGAATTTGTATTTCAGTTTGATCTGCTTATCATTCAGAATATTCCTTCTCACTTTTATGATTCTACAGAATCATAATAATATTATGATTAATAATAATATTATTAATATTATGAATATTAATATTATCTATTATCTCTGAACACACGTGATCTTGTCAATCTTTACAGATTTCATCACTTTGAACTATAACACATACAGAGAGAAATACCTAAAATACATTGATTGGTTGACAAGCAGTATAAGAAATCCTAACATAAGGGAAATAGCCTGCTGATCACCGCTCAGGGAAGAACCCTCCTCCTACCTGGGAACTTCTCACTTGTGTCTTCCTTACTGCAAGCCTGGTTTTACACTTTTTAAAAAAGAGAGACATGACTATGGTAGACATTCTTTTATAGAGAGTTTTACTTAACATTCTCTTTGTGAGTTTAAACCATTTCTTCTCTTTCTGTAAAGAAACACATTCTGAAAGAATTGTTTATGGTCTGTTCCCAACTCTGAACTTTTTCTTAACCTCATTCCTATTCAACTTTAGTTTTCAGTACATGGTTTCTAATCACATTTGAGAAGGAAAAAAATCATACTTCACTGGCAGGCTTTGGGAAGGGTCATTTCTCCTCTGTCCTAAAAGTAGAATAATCTGAAAATACTCATAAGCAGGAATATATTAGTGATCTATTACTACTATGCATCAAATTACCCCAAAATTTAGTGGCTGAAAACAACAGATACTGAGCATTTCAGATATTAAGAGTTGATGAATGTGTGGGTCTATTTAGAGGTCTCTGTGTATATTTGCCAATACCACATTGTTTCGATTAGTACAGATTTAATAATCTTACTTTTTGATAGAGCAGATCTCCATCTTGCATATAGAATTAAAGAATGACGAACTGCATTCTCTTGTTTGTTATACTGTGTGTTACCTGGAGAAACAACTTTTTTTTTTAATGGTACCAGGAATCAAACTCAGGACCTTGCGCTTGCCAGCCAGGCACTTGTTCCGCTGAGCTATACCCCTGGTCCTGGAGAAACACCCTAAAGGAGGAAAGATTTGTTTGACTAATGATTTCTGAGGCTGCAGTCCATGCCTCCTGGCTCCCTTGTTTCTGGTGGGTAATGAGGGAGTATGTCGTGGTGAAAGGGCCTGGCAAAGCCAAGCTGCTCACCTCATGGCAGATGGAAGCAGAGGGAGAGAGCCTTCCCCATCCATGTGCTTCCCAAAGCCCGAAGCTGACCACCAAGCCTCTTGCAGGACATTTCACTCGTAAACCACGACCCCCTTTCCTGTCCACTTGCCGCACGTTGTTGGAAAGACTATTCTACTCCCATGGAGTTGTATCTGTACCTTGCCAAAAGTCAGTTTACTGAAAATGTAAGGGTTTATTTCTGGGATCTCCCTGCTACTTCTATGCTCTGCATTTCAGTCCTTATGCCAGTACCACACTGTCTTGGTTACTGTAGCCTTGGAATGAATTTTGAAAATGGAGCTGAGAGTCCTGTAGCTCTGTTCTTTCTTTTCAAGGTTGTTTTGACCATGCTCTTGTATATTCATTTGGGTTTTAGAATTAGCTTATCAGTTTCTGCACAAAAGGTGGCTAGGACTTCAAGGGGCATTAAATTGAATCTGAGATCAATTCCTGAAATAGTATCATTGTAACAAAATTATGTCTTTGAATTCCTAGAATATCTTTCTATTTATTTAAATATCCTATTTTTCAAATAAGTTTTTAATTTTGAGGGGTTGCTCAGGACTCAATCCAGGGCCTCAGACATGCTAGGTAAGCACTTTCCCACTGAACTACATCCCCAGACCTTTGCATTTTTTAAGAAAATTTTTTTATTTTGAGACAGGGTCTCTCCAAGTTGCCCAGGCTGGCTTTGAACTATGATCCTCTTGCTTCAGCCTCCTGAGTAGCTAGAATATCAAATGTGTGCCACCAGATTTAACATATTTAAACATTTCTAGCTTTTCTCAGTGACGTTTTATAGCATTCAATGTGCAAATGCTACATTTGTTTTGTTAAATGTATTCCTAAGTATTTTATTCTTTCTATTGGCATTGGAAATGCAACTACTTTTAAATTGTATTTTCAGATTGTTTATTGCTTGTGCACAAACATGCAAATGATATTGATATATTGATCTTACATTCTGCAGCCTTAGTGGATTTATTAGTTTTTCTGCTTTCTTACAGATCCCTCTGTGTTTTCTGTGTCAGGTTGTATTTTAGAGAACAGAGACCATTTCACGTCTTTCTTTTCAATCTGGATGCATTTGACTTTTTTCCTTGCCTGGTTGGCCTGGCCCTAACCTGAAGCCCTGTGCTGAATGGCGGTCAGAGCAGGCCTGCTTGTCTCGTTCCTGCCTCTAAGAGGAAGCACTGAGTCCTTCAACCATTAAGAATGATGTTAGCAGTACATTTTCTCTATGTGGCTATTTATGTCCTTATAGGTTGAGGAAATTTCCTTCTCTTCTTTGTTGAAATTTTTTTTTCTTTTTCTAATTTTTATTTTTACTAGCACATGTTTGTAGTGTATAATGACTCCATTCATCATAGGGGATTGGTACCTGTACATAACATCACTTTTTTGTTTGTTTTGGCACCGGGAATGGAACTCAGGACCTTGTGCTTACCAGGCAGGCGCTGTGCCGCTGAGCTATATCCCCGACCCATAACATGACTTTTAAACCATGCTATGGTGTTAGGGTTGCCAGATCTGTGGTACTGAGATGATGACGTCCTTTCTTAGGTGGATTACACTTACTGATTTTCATGTGTTCCATCAACCCTGCGTTCCTGGGCTGAATCATACTTGGGTGCAGCAAATCCTCTTTACACTGCGGATTGAGTTGGTGGTGTTTTTGCATCT